ATAAGGACGGAGAAGATTAAATATGAAGATAAGCTAGCCAGTAATATAAAAGAACATTGTAAGAGTTTCTTTAGCTATATAAAGGGCAAAAGAGAGGAAAATGTGGACATTAGGCCACTTGAAAATGACACTGGAGAAGTAGTAAGGGGGAACAAAGAAATGGCTGAGGAACTGAATAAGTTCTTTGCGTCAGTCTTCACGGTGGAAGACACGAGTAATATCCCAAAATTCAAGAGAGTCGGGGGCAGAGGTGAGTATGGTGGCCATCACCAAGGAAAAGGTGCTAGAAAAACTGAATGGCCTGGAGGTGGATAAGTCACCTGGACCAAATGGACTACACCCCAGAGTTCTGAAGGAGATAGTTCTGAAGGTGATCTTTCAGGAATCACTGGAGTCATGGAGGGTTCCGGAGGACTGAAAAATCACTCATGTGACACCCCTCCTCCCCGCCCCCCCACCCCACTCAGTTTAAGAAGGGAATAAGGCAAAAGACTGAAAATTACTGGCCTATTAACCTGACCTTGTTCGTGGGTAAGATTTTCGAGTTCATTGTGAAGGATGAGATTTCTGAATACTTGGAAGTGTATGGTAATGTAGGGCAAAGTCAACATGGTTTTGTCAAGGGGGAGTCATGCCCGACAAATCTGTTAGAATTCTTTGAGGAGGTAACAAGCAGTTTAGACCAAGGAGAGCCAAAGGATGTTATCTACCTGGATTTCCAGAAGGCCTTTGTCAAGGTGTCGCACAGGAGGCTGCTGTTTAAGATAAGGGCCCATGGTGTTAGAGGCAAGGTACTAGCATGGATAGAAGATTGGTTGTCTGCCAGACAACCAAAGAGTGGGAATAAAATGGTCCTGCTCAGGATGGCAGACGATGATGAGTGGTGTTCCACAAGGGTCAATGTTGGGACCACAACTTTTCACGTTATACATTAATGATCTAGATGAAAGAACTGAAGGCATTCTGGATAAACTTGCGGATGATGCAAAGATAGGTGGAGGGACAGATAGTATTGGGGTGGTAGCAAGGCTGCAGAAGGATTTAAGACAGGTTAGGACAGTAGGCAAAGAAGTAGCAGATGCAACATAGGAAAGTGTTGAGGTCATGCACTTCGGTAGGAAGAATAGAAGCATAGACTGTTTTCTAAATAGGGAGCAGATTCAGAAATCTGAAGTGCAAAGGGACTTGAGAGTCCTAGTCCAGGATTCTCTTTAGGTAACTTTGCAGGTTGAATCAGTAGTTAGGAAGGCAAATACAATGGAGGCATTAATTTTGAGAGAACAAGAATATAAAAGCAAAGATGTACATCTGAGGCTTTATAAGGCTCTGGTCAGACCACATTTAGAGTATTGTGAGCAATTTTGGGCCCTATACCTCAGGAAGGATGTAGTGGCCCTGGAGGGGGTCCAGAGGAGGTTCACGAGAATGATCCCAGGAATGAAATGCTTAACATATGAGGAATGTTTGACGACTCTGGGTCTATACTTAATGGCGTTTATAAGGATGAGGTGGGGATTTAATTGAAACTTACAGAATACTGAACGACCTGGACAGAGTGGATGTTGGGAAGATGGCAGGCAAAACTAGGACCTGAGGGCACAGCCATAGAGTAAAGGGAAGATCCTTTAGAATGGAGAAAAGGAGAAATATCTACAGCCAGAGTGAATCTATGGAATTTATTGCCATAGAAGGCTGTGAAAGCCATGTCATTGAGTATATATTTAAGGCAGAGATAGATAGATAGGTTTTTGATTGTCAAGGGGAATAAGGGTTACGAAGAAGAAGCGGGAGAATGGGATTGAGAAACTTATCAGCTATGATTGAACAGCAGAGCTGAATTGATGGGCTAAATAGCCACATTTCTGCTCCTATGTCTTATGTAGAAGAGGGATTAGGCCTCTTAGTCCTCTGAACCTGCACCTGCTGTGCCATTTGGTGTGACCAAAGTTGACATATCTCATTCCCACACTATTTCCCATGTCCTTTTCATTACTAGCTAAGTAACTTTCTATTCCTGATGCAGTTTTGGATTCTGCAGTATTGGAAAGAAATTAAGTAGTAGAGAGGCTACAACAGAGATTCGCGAGAAATTAAATATAAAAGAAAAATGTTGCAGGTCTTGCAAATTTCAAAGAAAAGCAGAAAATGGAGGAATTTCTAAACCAATCTGACAGAATGTAGAAAGAGAAACTGAGTAAATATTTCAGGTCAATGACCTTTCATCAGAACTGAAAAAGAGAAATGTACTAGTTTTTAATGAGATCATATGGTGGGTGAGGTGTTTGGAGACAAAACAAAAAGTAAAGTTAGTAGCAGGGCAGAAAACAGGAGACCTTAATGACAAATAACTTGTTGGGACACCCTCAAACATTAGTGATACACTAAGTAAAGAAATAAAGGATGTGCCCAGAAAGGTTGAGTGGCTGAATAATGAACAGCTGCTGCCCAAATGCCAAATAGGGATGCTGATACCAAAACTTAAACATGCAAAGAGAGAAGCAACAAAATGGCAGCGGTTTGGGGGGGTGTGGGGAAGAAGCGCAAAGATTGCAGACTGAAATTGTTGAACTTAATGTCCAAAAGGCTATAATGTGGATTTTTGAAAGATGTGGTTTTGTTGCTTGAGCTTGTATTGTTGGAAAAACTGTAGTTCATGAAGGACAGATGTTGACATGAAAACAAGGTGGAGAATTCAAAAAGACAGGCCAAAGAAAGCCTGTATGTAATGCTTGTGTTCAACAAAGCAGTCACCCAATCCGCATTCGTTCTCCCCATTGAAGAGTAGACCACACTGTAAATAATGAATGTGGATATACAAAATTGAAAAGTACATAAGAGTGCTGATTCGCCTGAAAGGAGTTCTTGGGCTTTAGGTGGTGAGGAGAGAGACAGTGTTGAGCAGACATTGCATCTCTTATATGAGGGTTTCGTGGGAAGGATATGTGATTTTGATATGATTTGAAGAGTGGATCAGGATGTTACGGTGAGAACGATTCCTTCGGAATACTGAATGGGTTGGTAAAGATGCTTTTGGTAGTGGCCGAAAGAGGTGGAAATGGTAGAGGATCAGTTCATCTATGACACTCTGGAAAGACTAAATACTGTTTGGTTGATCTCTTTACGGCACTCCTCCATTATGTCTGCACGACTGACCCTGAGGTTCTGCTGTCCTTCCATTTTTATTCCTTACCTTGCTTCCATTGTGACTTCTTTCAGCTCATTTCAGTATAGCATTTCATTGAAACTCAACATAAGCTTGAGGAACAGCACACATTTTAGATTCGGCACTTTACACCTTTCTGGACCCAGAATTGAGGTCAAAAATTTTGGAATGTAATTTAGGCCTCTCATTTTGCTTCTTCTTTGTTGCTGGTGTCAGTCAGTATCGCTTTGCCTTTTCTCTCTGGCAGCTTTCATTATTCTGCTCTTAATAACTTCTCTGACATATGTATTTGTTTCATTACTTGTCACATTACTACTGCCTTTTGGCTCTGCCCACCAGTGCTTATCATTTTAATGTCTTCCATTTTCTGCTGTACTATAGATCGTTCCTTCAGTTGTTTATCCACCTTTTGGTTATTTCCAGCATTGTCTGGATTTTTGCAATAGAAATCTGCTGAAGAAAGAAGTACTGCTAGGGGCCATTTTTGCCAACTTTCTTTCCCACGTGTACCCCTTCCCAGCACTTATCCTATTTGACTTGTCTTGCTCAACATTGATCCAGTGGACTCAGCTTTCAGTTCAGTTAACATTGTCGCTCTCTGCACATCTCACAACGTCTAAAATTTCAGTGGCGCTTCACTTGTCGCTTGTCTTAGATGTTATGAATGATCAACATGGCTTTGATTATAAACTTGGCTGAGAGCTGAAGAAGTCATCCTGCAAAATAGGTTTGCCTGATTATACATGCCACCATTTGCCCAGTCCAATCTGCTGCACCTGTGGTGTAGCCACATGTCAAGTGGCAAGACCTGATAGAAGGATTTGCTATTCGGCCCTAGCCCCTGTTGTTGTTGTGTGCCCCATCACCCCTGTTCACAAAACCTCAGCCTTCTTGCTTGCATGCCTTTGTCTAACCAACTCTCCCCTTGCTTACATCACTTTAGTACCTCAACTCTAAATGTCCATTTGCTTGGTGCTCCCCCTGCGTCTCCTCCCCTGCCCCAACACGATTCTTTCACTCCACTCTCCTCCTCTGACCACCTCCATGCAACCTGCCCCTTTGTGATCACTCCTCTGCCTAACCGCTACTTTGAACATCACTGTGCGTCCCTCCTCCTGTCTGACTGCCTCCCTGCACCCCTTCCCATCTCTGACCATCTCCCCCACTGCGACCACCTCCCAATCTAACCCTCTGCTTCGAAACCCTCCCTGCATCCCTTGCCTGTTCCGACCATTGCTATAGCAGCACAGACAGGAGAGATTAGCTAAATGCAAACTGTCTTGCAACACTGAGTTTCCAAATTGTTTTGAGTCTGATGCATTTCCAAATATTTGGATAATATTTTATAAAGGAATGTAGGAAGTTCTGCAAAAATATGTTATCTTTCTTTATGCGTCTGAGTTTGTTCAAAGCAACATACTGGAATTCAGTTTATTGCAGTGCTGTGACTTGTATTTTAGGGGTTAAAATGCAGTAGATTGCTCTTTTGTACTATTGTTATTGCCCACACCTATGCTGTCCTGTGATTATCCAGTTGGAAGTGAAAATCAGGAAATTTACTTTCCTTCACAGTCAGTTGGATGTTGCAACTGTGCTTGATTCTTTGATGTTGTGATTGAGCTGAGCAACTTGCTGCCTGTGGAACAGCATTTTTTGATTATCAGCTGTGGTTTTGCTTCACATGATGGATGAGTCCATTTAATGAAACAAAAATAAAACAGAATGTATTAATTAACATTACGAGATTTAAGATATGCTGTACTTTGTTTTGCTATCTGACTGAGGAGATTTTGTTAAAGTTACATGCGAATGATTGAAATTTATTCTTTGTGTCTAGAGGGACAGTTAAGACATATAAAAACTGGGGAGCCATATGTATTTAATTACCATGAGGACTTGCACAGATGGAATCAGAAACGTTATGAAGCTCTTGGAGAGGTAAGTTCTTTTTTTTTTACTGTTAATAACTTTGATTGGGTGATCTATACATACATGTGGTGACTGATAATTATAAGAAGATGCATGCTGATTTGTGAAATTGTCCTTATGGTACATAATGGGGAATGGGCGTTGGGAAAATGCAGGTATTTGTATTCTTTCCGATATTCTGTCTATAAATACACGCAAAGCCAGTGAGTAGTGAGCCTGCAATTTTCAGAAATGAGAGCTGTGTACTTGTTGCACAAGTTTGGAGAATTAGTCCTAAAAAAGATAATTAGCTTTAAACTCTAGAGGCAGCAAAGGTATGACTAGGAAATTCTGTAATCTATTTATTTCAAACATTATGTGAATTGGTCCATATCCAGTGCCTTTTTTACCCTTGTATTTATGTTAAGTTTTCCTGTCTTTATGAAATAGCATATCCTTCACTGCCCATTGAATGACATTACTGAAGAGATTCCAGAAAATCATACTTGTATCAAATCCAAATTATACCTAGCACAAAGGAAGATAATGACCCTAGCCCTAATCAATTATCTCAAGCTCCAGGAATTCTTCAGGATAGTGTCCTATGTGCAACCATCTTCAGTTACTTCATCAATGACCTTACTTCATCATGAGGTCAGATGTAGGGATGTATGCTGATGATTGCGCAATGTTTAGCATGATTATTCCGATACTGAAGCAGTTCACGTCTACGTTCAGCAAGGTGTGGACAGTATCCATGCATTCACACTGCACAAGTGCCAGGCAATAACATCTCCAGCATGAGAGAATCTAACAATCATCCTTTGACATTCACGAATGTCCTCCAGGGAAGGAAATCTGCCTTCCTCATCTGGTCTGGCCTACATGTGACTCCAGACCCAGAGCAATGTGGTTGTCTCTCACTTGCCCTCTGAAATGGCCTAGCAAGCCATTCAGTTATACCAATTGCTACAAAGTCCCAAAGGAATGAAACCAGACAGATCACTTGGCATTGACCAAGGCACCGGAAAAGACAACCGCAGAAACAGCTATGTCGACCTGCAAAGTCCTCCTCACTAACATCTGGCTAGTGCCAAAATTTGGAGATTTGGCTCACAGACTAGTCAAGCAACAGTCTGACATAGTCATACCTATGGAATCATACCTTACATACAATGTCCCAGACACCACCATCACCATCCCCAGATATGTCTGTCTCACCGGCAGACCCAGCAGAGATGGTGGCATAGTGGTATACAGGCAGGAGGGTGTTGCTTTAGGAGTCCTCAGCATTGACTCCAGACCCTGTGAAGCCTCATGGCTTCAGGTTAGACATGGGCAAGGAAACTTCCTCCTGATTACCACATACCGTCCTCCCTCAGCTGATGAATCGGTACTCTTCCATATTGAACAACACTTGGAGGAAGCACTGAGGATGGCAAGGGCACAAAATGTACCCTGGGTGGGGAATTTCAATGTCCGTCATCAGGAGTGGCTCGGCCGTAGTACTATTGATTGAGCTGATGGGTCCTAAAGGACATAGGTGCTAGACTGGATCTGTGGCAGGTGGTGAGGGAACCATCATGAGGGCAACACCTACTTGACCGCATCCTTGCCAATCTGCCAGCTGTAGATGCATATGTCCATGATAGTAACGGTAAGAGTGACCAATGGACGTTCCTTGTTGAGATGAAGTCCTGCCTTCACATTGAAAATAACCTCCATTGTGTTGTGTGGCACTATCACTGTGCTAAATGGGACAGACTTCGAACAAATCTACACTCCCGACTGGGCATCCATCTGGCACTGTGGGTGGTTAACAGCAGCAGAATTGTACTCCAGCCTAAACTGTAACCTCACTGCCTACATATTCTCTACTCAACCATGGCTGTCAAGCCAAGGGATCAATCCTGGCTCAATGGAGAGTGGAGGAAGGCATGCTAGGAGCAGCACCAGGCATACCTGAAGGTATGGTGTCAACCTGGTGAAGCACCAAACAGGACTACTTGCACGGCAACCAGCATATGCAGAATAATAGTCAGAGCTCAGCCACCACACAACCAATGGATCAGATCTAAGCTCTGCAGTCCTGCCACGTGTAGTCGTGAATGATGGTGGACAATTAAACAACTCACTGGAGGAGGAGGCTCCCTAAATATGCTCATCCTCGATGATGGAAGAGCCCTGCACATCAATACAAAAGATAAGGCTGAAGCTTTCGCAGCAATCTTCAGCCAGAAGTGCAAAGTAGATGATCCATCTTGGCCTCTTCCAGTGGTCCCCAGCATCACAGATACCAGTCTTCAGTCAGTTCGATCAACTCCATGTGATATCAAGAAACAGTTGGTGCCACTGGATACTGCAAAGGCTAAGGGCCGTAACAACATTCCAGCTTCCAGCAATAGTACTGAAGAGTTGTGCTTCAGAACTTGCTGTTCCAGTATGGTTACAACACTGGTATCGACTTGACAATGTGGAAAATTGCCCAAGTGTGTCCTGTACGTAAAAATCTGGACAAATCCAACGCAGCCAATCACTGCCCCATCAGTCTACTGTTGATCATCAGTAAAGTGATAGAAGGTGTCATCAACAGTGCTATAAAGCAGCACTTGCGCATTGATGTCCAGTTTGGGTTCTGCCAGGGCCACTCAGCTCCTGACTTCATTACAGACTTGGACCAAACATTGGACAAAAGTGCTGAATTCCTGAGGTGAGGTGAGAGCGACGGCTTGACATCAAGGCTGCATTTGACCAAGGGTGATATCAAGAAGCCCTAGCAAAACTGGAATCTAAAGGTATTGGGGGGCAAAAGCTCCGGTGGTTAAAGTCATACCTGACACATAGGATGATGGTTGTGGTTGTTGGAGGTCAATCATCTCAGTTCCTCGGGGTAGTGTCCTAGGCCCAACCATCTTCAACTGCTTCACCAATGACCTTCCCTCCAGCGGGGATATGAGCGATGATTGCACATTTGTGACTCCTCAGGTACTGAAGCAGTCCGTGTCCAATGCAACAAGATCTGGACAATATCCAGGCTTGGGGTGACCTGTAGCAATTAACATTCGCGCCACACAAATGCCGAGCTATGTCTCATTCTAAAGAGACAATCTAAACACCACCCCTTGACATTCAATGGTGTTGCCATCACTGAATTCCCCACTAACAGCATCCTGGGCATTATTGATCAGAATCTCAACTGGACTCGCCACATAAACACAGTTGCTGCAAGAGCAGGTCAGAGGCTAGGAATACTGTGGCGAGGAACACACCTGACTTCCGCAAACCTGTCCACCATCTACAAGGCACAAGTCAGGAGTGTGATGGAATACTCCCCACTTGCCTGGATGAGTGCAGCCCCAACAACCCTGAAGAAGCTTGACACCATCCAGCACTAATCAGCCCACTTGATTGGCACTGTATCCACAAGCAACCACTCCCACCACCACCACCACTCACTTCTGTGTACAAAATGCACTGCAGAAATTCATCAACGAACTCCGACAGCACCTTCCAAATCCACGATCACTTCCATCTAGAAGGACAACGGCAGCAGATATGCTGTGGTTGGTTCGCTAGCTGAGCTGGTTCAGTAATTTGCAGATGTTTCGTTACCTTCTGAGTAACATTATCAGTGCAGCCCCTGGTGAAGCATTGTTGTATTTTCCCACTTGCTATTTAAACTCTGGGGTCCGTTGGAGTTGATTGCCTCACTTCCGGTTTTTCTTTGCTGTGGTATGTGTATATAGGGTCTATTTCTTTGTGTTTATTGATTGCCTTTTTGGTGGAGAGCCAGGCCTCTAGAAATTCTCGTACTTGTCTCTGTTTGGCTTGTCCTAGGATCCTGATGTCCCAATCGAACTGGTAGTTCTCCTTGTCTGTATGTATGGAGACGAGTGTTATTGGTCGTGTCTTTTTGTTGCCAGTTTTCTTCCTGTTTGTCGCAGTCCTTGCATGGAATCTTGTATATAACGTTGGTTCTGCCCATAGTGGGTAAGGGGTCTTTGGTTCTTGTCAGCAGTTGGCGTAGGGTTGATGTAGGTTTGTGTGCCACTCTGATGCCCAGTGGCCATGGGAGTCTTGGGATCAATTCAGATATGTTCTTGATGTATGGTAACGTGACAATTATGTCAGGGCGTTGTCTCTAAGAGGCAACGGATACCTGAACAGCTGGGTCAAACAATGCCTGTCACACAAACAACAAGAGGAAGATACAGTATGCCCTGACCATAGCAACCACAACCCGAGCTACAAATCTACTCAAGAACATTAGCAACAGACATATGGGAACATCACCACCTTCAAGTTCCCCTCTAAGCCACTCACCACCCTGACTTGGAAATATATTGCCGTTACTTCACTGTCACTGGATCCAGATCCTAGAATTCCCTCCCTAATGGCATTGTGGATCAACCTACAGCAGGTGGACTGCAGTGGTTCAAGAAGGCAGCTCACCACCACCTTCTCCAGGGCAACTAGGGACGGGCAATAAATGCTGGCTGGCCAGTGAGACCCACATCCCGTGAATAGAAAAAAAAATTATATTACCATGATTAAATCTCCCACAGTATGCACCCTGAGGTTTGCCATTGACCAGAAACTGAACTATATTAGTTCAGAACATCACGGAGGTGGTGGCATAGGAGTATAGTCTCTGGACTGGTAATCCAGAACCCCAGGTTAATGGTCTGGGACATGGGCTCAAATCCCAATATAGCAGATGGTAAAATCTGAATTCAGTAAAAGTCTTGAATAAAAACCTAGTCTAATGGCAATCATATCACCATTACGGATTTGTTCTAAAAAGCTATTTGGTTCACTATTGTCCTTTAGGGAAGGCAATCTGCCATCCTATTCCTCCGGGCAATTGGGGATTAGCAATAAATGCTGGACAAACCAGCAATGCTGATAGCCATGAACAAATTTTAAAATAAAATTAGCTGTGTAAATAGTTGGTTTCAAGAGCAGGTCAGAGTGAGCAGTTAATCTCCTAACTCCACAAAGTTTCTCCACCATCTGCAAGGCACAAATCA